GCCGCGGCGCTGTGATTGGCTACTCGTGCAAACGTTCGGCAACGGCTAAAAACACCGCGTTTAGAAACCCACGCTATTTGTTGCGCTCAACCGCCGCCCGCGAATGCAATGGCCGATGCTCCAATGAGCTAGCTCGCGACCCGTCGCTTCCACGAGGCTCTTTATGGATGGCAAAGCAGGCGCGGTATTTATTTCCGGGTCGTTTGCACTTGGAGACCTCAGAATTTCGCCGTTGAAGGCTGGTTGAAGAGAAGCGAAATGCACGCAATTCGACCAAGGAAGGCACTGAGGAGATGAAATTCAAAGATCACCAACGCCATGAGGGCACCCGAGGTGAGGTCACGACCGACCGAGATCTGGCTCAACGTTGGATCCACCGGAGAAGTTTTGGCCGCATAACAACTCCAGAACGCGAGGTACGGACTGGTGTACGGGGCCGCCCTCGCCAGCGACACATTCGTCAGACGCGACGAGACGTGGATACGCCCAGCGAACATGGCGGAGAAGGTCCCGTTGTACGTTTGTTGCGCTTGCTTGTTCTGCCTCGGCACCCCTGAACAAACCGTAGCAATTGAGTGGGCTGAGGTTGCAGTTCGCCAAGTGCTGCAAGCAGCGGTGGCACAAACACAAGGAGGCAACTCTTGGCAAACGTTTCCAATGTATATCTGATTGAACGCAGACCAGTACTACAGTAGTAATGTATTGGCGGCGGGTCTAGTACGGGTAGTAGGACAGTGCATCGTAAGGCACGACTTGTACAAAGTGGCGCGATTCTTCGAGGAGTACTTGCGTCGCGTTGTAGGAGCCATAGACAGTAAGCGTCGGCGGCGGGCCATAGTAAGTGAGAAACGCGATGGCAATGTACCACGTCCCCCTGCTGGTGTCCACCCACGTCATGGTATTCACCGTAGCGATACCGGCAAACATCATCTGCAGTTGCCGCGTCAAATCGGCCGCCGTCATGGATCCTGCCGTGTCCGACGTCATGTTGAGGAGCGCACCGATGTACGTCGACCCGATCGCAAACTTGACGTTCAGAACGGCACCGGCTGTCGCGTTCACTTCGATGCGTTGCTTCGTGCTCGACGAGTACGGTGTGAGCATTCGCCCTGCGGCGACCGACGCGGTCGTGGACAGCAGCGGACACACGTTGACGTCGTTGCACGTCATCACCTGCGCGTATAAATACCACGCAGAGTACGCGACGTTGGCCGTGCAGCTCGCGACCACGGACGTGTACTCGATCGGCGACCACAAAGCGGCTGCCGCGAGCGCCGTAGTAAAGTTGGCGGTCACCGAATCCGAGACGCACGAGACGATCGACGCGCACGCCGCCGACATGGCGCACTGGGCGGCGAGTGACGCGCAGCCTTGGCACTTGGCTACAATACAGTCCTAAACGAGTGTACGGAGCATCTTGACGTACCGTTCAGCGGCATGGCCGGCGCCGAGACAGCCGCGCTATTGGTCGTGTACGGAAAGCCAAACGCGGTGACGTTGAACGGGACGACTTTGTACAGCCAGCTCGGTGGCACGGACGATATATTTTGGGTCGCGCCAACGACTGTGATGATCGGTAGCGGCGCAATGTAGTTCGTGTACGAGAGCGTGAGAGCCCACGAGGTCGGGGTCGTCATCACGTACGTGGCGTTCACTTGGCCGAGGCCCCAGAGTAGCGCCTGCACAGTCGACTGTACCATCAATGCCGATGAAAATGCCACATTGGGCACGCTGCCAACGCTCGAGCCAAAGAGACTCAGCTGCAAAGTCACATTGTTGGTCGTGTCCAAGAAGATCGTTTGGACCGCTGGCGTCGCCGTTGGAACAATCATGCGGTTGGCCAAGATGGACGTGACGTTGGCCGCGAGACTCAAGTCGGCAGCGACAGGGCACTTGTTCTGGAGGAGGCAGCTCGTCGCGGCGGCAAAGAGACTCGCGCTCGCAAAGGTTTGGTTGGCAAAACAGAGGGTCGCATTGGCCGTCGCGTTCACCGACAACAACTGTGGTGTCGCTTGGAGAGCGTTGAGGGTCGACGCAATCGATGCATTCGTGCGCCAGCAGCTCAGTATGTTGGCACACGCCGCGTTGGCAGCGCATGCGCTAAACTGCGACACGCATGCACTGCACGTTGCTACAAAGACTGTTGAGACTCACGAAAATATGATCCAATCGTACCGCTGAGCACGAGGGCGGTGTTGGTGATCATCGTCGTCGGCAACAGCGTCAGCGTCTGGTTGCCGAGCACGGCGCGCATCGCGGCGGCCGTCGCGAACGACGACGTGACTATCGGCAATGGCAGCGGAATCGCAAGGTTGGGGAATGTCAGCGTGACGTTGCACGTGAGTTCGCAAGCGAGCACAGCGGTGGGCGTTAGCGAGACGCCCCAGACTGACTGGAGCGCGTCATTGAGCCCGCTTGACGCGTTGTTTGTCACGACCAGCGAGACGTTGAGCGATGGGTACGAGATGGTTGTGTTGAAGGTCACGGTCGTGTTGGGCACAGTAACGACGTGGACTTCGGGCGTCGTCGAGAGGACCACGTTCTTTAGCGTTCCGTTGACCATTGTCGTGTTGAGTGCGCACTGGTAGTTGCTCATGCACGAGAAGTAGAGCGCAAATGGTGTCATCGACTTGAGCGACGTGGTCGCAAACATCGTTTGAGGTCCCGAAAGCACCGAAGCAATCGGCACCGGCGCCGACATGAGCGAGCCATTGGCAAGCAGCGAGGATACGTTGGCGTTGATGGCCGCCCGGAAACTCATGAGAAGCGATGTGCAGTTGGAGTCTGAGAGGCAGTTAGCGCGCAAGTACGTTTGGCACTCGTCGCAGACTACAGCATCCATCTTAGGAAGAGTCAATCGAGACTCACCTACCAGTGGCCATGGCCGGTGTCGTCGCATTCATCGCCGCGGTGTTGTTTGCTTGGCTCGCCGACGGGAACATGATGGTACCGTACATGGGCAATGGCGCCGGCGACGTAGGAATCGGGGCCGCTGTTGGCACCCTGGCATTGGCTTGGTACGGGAACCCAAACTTGACCGCACTGAGCGGCACGACTTGGTACGCTGGCAACGGGCTCTGCGCACTAACAAGAGACGTCGTGGCCGACGCGGACGAGGTGATCGTGACCGTCGGCAGCGGTCCGACGTAGTTGTTGTACGAAATTTGAATGTACCACGACGCATTGGTGGCTTGAAAGGTCGAGAGAGAGACCCCACCCCACGCTGCCAACATCGCTTGGAGCTGGCTCGTGAGCACGAACGGCGACGAGTAGAGTGAGAGGTACTCTATCTTGCCGAGGTAGGCGCCGAGGAGGCTGAACTCGAGGCTCACCGACGCCGTGAGGGCGCCCGAGACAACAAACATCTGCATGCCAGGAGTCAACACGGCCACGAGACTTCGATCGGCTAGGATCTGACGCAGCGTCGCGTTCTGAGGGCACATGTTGAGTGCAAAGCAACTCGTCGCTGTGAGGTACGGGGCCGCCCTCGCCAGCGTCACATTCGTAAAGCACGACGAGACGTTGACACTTCGCGTCGCGTAGAGCCCGGTGGACGCCACGTCGAAGGACCCGTTGAGCACCGTCTGTGTCCCGTTGTCTGCGCTCGCACATAGGAGCACGCTCGCACAGCCAGAAGGACTGTTGTAGCAGCTGTCAATGTACTCCATACAGCGCTTGCACGTCGCTAGTCAACCGATGAGTGTCATAGAAACGAAAGGACGACGTACGGCTCTGAACAATCGTCGGGTTCATCGCCGGTGCCATATCCACACGGACGACCTTGAGGGTTTGCAGCGCAGTGTGCGACTTGTCGATGGAGACAGTGGCGCCGTTCACGGCGACAACGGCGGGTGACAGCGGCAAAATCGAGTACGGAAACGTCAATGTCAAGAAACATATGTCGGCGCAGTCGAGGGACGCCTTTGGCGGCATCGATGCACTCCACTGCGACGCCAGCCCAAACTGGATATCGCTTGGCGACATGGAACTGCGGATGGCCATGGTCACATTGAGTGCCGGGTACGCCAATGTGAGAGAAAAGCTGGCCGATGTGTTGCGGATCGTCACCACGTGCGTTTCGTTGCTCGCGACAAGGACAGGCGCGTCAGACGCACCGGGTGGCATCTGCACGAGCGAACACTGGTATTGCGCGAGGCACGAGTGGTAGAGCCCAAAGACGGACGCTGCAAGCGACGATGTCGACGCCGGCACGCTGCGCGCGATGAGACCCGAGACGTCGACGAAGCTTCCGTTGCCGGCTTTGGTCATGCTGAGGATCGTTTGGTTCATATTGCGCTGGAAGTCGGTCATGAGCTGTCGGCAGCTCGGATCGGGCCCGCAGTACGTCTGCAAGAAGGCGCGGCACTGGTCGCACACTATACACAAGATGAGTTGTTGAATAGCGTATCTTGGCAGCGTACTGGACGTCATGTTGGTGGCCTTGAACATGTCCATGGGCATTGGCGCTCCCGCTGCAAAGTACTTGAGGTTGTACGGCACGACCTGCAG